CCCGCGACCCCGCGCGGGGCCGCCCGGCCCTCCCTCAGCGGCCCGCGGCGTACGTCCACATCCCCGGTACGACCCCCGAAGCCCACGCGCGCGTCGCGGCGACGGCCAGCCGCCACACGAGCCCTGCAGAGTCACTCCCGAGCCGCGCAGTCGGCGACCTCCCGCACGTCCCCCGCCCCGTACTCGAGCCGCCGCTCGCGTCCCTCCCGGAACGCCCGCGCGCCGCCGCCGCGTGCTCGGCCCGCCGCCTCGCACCTGAGGCCGCGGCGGGCATCAGGCTTCCCTCAGGAGGGGCCCTGGAAGGCCGGGGGCCGGTCACCGCCGGTCTCTGCGGCGGTGCTGGGTCACGAGTGTGTCCGCTGTGCAAGTTCACTGAGGAACACTTCAGGCGTGTGCGCTTTTCCGTATGTGTTACACTTCAATAAAACACGCAGAAACTACTCGGAGAGGGGCACAGGCTCGGCTACACTGCCAGAGGGGGCGTCACACCAGACGGGGAGCCGTTGGCCGTCCCCTCGCGGGAGGTTACAGACACCCCCGGGCGGGCTCGGCCCTTCACACGCCTGGCACCGTCGCGCCAGCGACAGGATCCGCCTCTTCCCGCCGGGTCAGCCAGCGCCCACGAGGCGCCCAGTGTGTGCCAAGCCCGGCGCTGGGCACCGAAGGGGACGGGCCAGGCGGGGGAGAGGCCAGCAGACGCCTCACGGCGGGGCCTGGGGTACGGGTCGGGGCTGCTAGGGCGGTGGACAGCACCGTCCCCGCTGCCTGTGTTCCAAGGAGGCCTGGGTGACATCAACGCCATGCCAAGCTCTGGTTTCAGGGAGGCTGTGTCCAGAAGTCCCACTCTGCCCTCACTTCCTAAGGGACCTCGGGCGAGTCCCTGCACTTCTCTGAGCCTTGAATTCTTCCTCCCTATGAAGGAGCCAGACGGACGAAGGCATCCCGTCTGTCCTCACAAGCTGGGATCTAGACTTCCCTTCTCTGGCAAAAATATGAGGGAGGGGAGGGGGGAGAAAATGGGAGGGGAGGGGAGAGAGAGGAGAGGAAGGGGAGGGGGAGAGAGGAGAAAGAGGTGGGGGAGGAGAGAGAGAGAGTTGGGGGACACTAACACATTTGCAAACCCACATGGCCATTTTTCCTTTGAAAAGTCCGACACGGGTAGTTCTAGATGTGCAAACCGCTCCCCGCAGTTTGCTGCCCCTCCCACCGCTCAGCGTCCCTCCTCGGCCAGAAGAGCGCGTTAAGCCCTACACGCTGCCTTGCGGCAGGAACCTGAACTCCCCGTTTTGAACTTGGTCCACCTCCAACCCAAAGAAGACCCTCAACCAGTCCAACATACCTTGTAAGCCAAAGCTCGCTTTTTACCGGGCCTTCCTGGCCCTTGTGGGAGAGCAGAACTTGACGTGAAGCCATGGCTCCTGCCCTTCTGATGAATTATGGCAGCGCACGGTGGGTGCCCTGTGCAGGCCTGAGCACTTTACGTAGATGGTCTAAACCAGCGCTGCCCAGTGGAACTTCCCACAGTGACGGAAATGTTCTCTAGCTGTGCCGTCCACTGTAAGCACTTGAAATGTGGCTAGTGCGACCGAGGAGCTGAATATTTAAGACCTTATTCAACTTTAATTAATGAATTTAAATAGCCGCATGTGGCTAGATGCTGCCATACAAAACAGCACTGGCCTCAAACCTCCCCACGGCGCCACAGGCTGCGCATTCTCATTGTCCGCATTTTACAGGCAAGAACTTGAGGTTTGAAGACATGCAGGGGCTCTGTCACCCGGGACGATTTTTCTACATGCGGAGCCCATTCCCTTCCCCTCCTGCTAGCGCGTCTGCGAGTCTGCGTAGCCACAGAGATAAAGCTGCAAGCTTTGGAAAGAGAACTGGATACAGATAAAGAGGTGATGAGCCAAGTACAGCCCAGGAAGTGAGTCGGAGAGCACGAGGTTGAGCCAGGCTGGGAGTGGGGGAGGGCCTCCTGAGGCCAGAAGACCACCGCCCCTGTGCAAGGTCAGAAGGGACATTCCTGCATTCCTCCAAGTCACTTCTCCTTTCTGCACCTCTTTTGAAGCGTATCACCCTCTTTCCCATTCCCTCTCTCAATTCATCCTCGTGATGAGCCCTGGAAGGCAGCAGTCCTACTCCCATTCTATGATAAGCAAACAGGCAGCACGTGGCAGTGCTGGGATTCAAACCCAGGTTCTGCCAAGTCCAGAGCACGCAAGCAGTCTCCCAGAGGAGGGTGCAGGACAAGCCGGGGGCTATGCCCACGCCCCAAGCAGTTGGGCACACTCGTCTGCCCTTCCCAGGATTTGGAGGCAGGTTCCAGGTGCATCACTAGGCAGAGCGATAGGAGCTGGTCAGAGTGGTGTTCCACCAGGAAGCAGAAGGAAATGGCCGTGCAGGCCAGAGTTGTCTCTGGGGTTAGGACAGGAGGCTTCGAGGGGAGAGGCACTTTGGGAGTGATGGTGCACTGAGTGAAAATAATTGCCTAGGAAAGTTGCAGAAGGAGGTCCTAGGGGTCTTCACCGAAGGTTTGAACTCGAGATTCAAAACCATTTGTCCAGGGCCGGCCCCGTGGCTTGGTGGTTAAGTGCACGCGCTCCGATGCTGGTGGCCCGGGTTCGGATCCCGGGCGCGCACCGAGGCACCACTTCTCCGTCCATCCTGAGGCCGAGTCCCACATACAGCAACTAGAAGGATGTGCAGCTATGACATACAACTATCTACTGGGGCTTTGGGGGGAAAAAATAAATAAATATAAAATCTTTAAAAAAAAAACAAAACCATTTGTCCAGCAGAGAAGAGCCCAGTGCTGGGAATCCAGAAACACCTAATTTCTTGTCCACTGATCTGCTGCTTGACCTTGGCCATGTCACTGCTCCTTCCAGGTCTCGGTTTCCTCATCTGCCAAGTGGGAATAATACTCTCTCCCACTTTACAGGATTGCAATTCTATTCAGAATGAGAGAGCAGAGGAGGAAATGCTCTGGAAACTGTAAAGCCCTACGTGGGTGTTAATAGTGGTTCTTGTTAAGACAGATACAAAGCAGAGGAGACAAGAACACAAGCAGAAACTGAAACACCACATAGAAAATCGTAAGAGAAAAGGCTGTGAGACCTCACAGGAGGAAGTTTCCTTCTAGCTTGTAGGGGGGGAGTGATCAGGGCAGACTTCCTGGAAGTGAAGGTACTGGTGCTAGGAAATAGTAATAATAATAATAACAATAACAATAAAGCAGTGAGCACTGTGCAAATGCTTTGCATGGATTATCTCATTTCCTTTTCATGACAACCCTGAGTTTGAGACGATCGTTATCTCCATTTTACAGATGAGGATCAGAGAGATTCAATTATTTGCCCATGATCACAATGCTAAAAAGTGGCAATGCTGGAAAACCCATGCATGTCTGTTTCCAAAGCTAAATTCTTGAGAGGAATTTGAATAGGCTGAGGGGAGAGATTGCCCCTCTCCTCCAGCTCCAGGGGTGGGTGTATAACCAAAGCTGAGCCAATCAGAGCAGCTCTCCCTGGTCATAGTGATTGGGTCAGGAATGGGAACATGACTCAAGACAGGCTAATGAGACTCAAGCCCAGGATTTTTGCAGAAACCATTAAAAAAGGGAACTTTATCTTCCCATGAGGTTGCTGAGCTAGTGGGATGTAAGCCTAGAACAGCTCCACACCAAGAGAGCCAGCCTGAGAATGAAGCCAACACAGGGCGGGGGG